GCATTGCTGAGGATTTACCCCAAATATACAGATGCAGTGAAACACCAGAACATCTGCACCCCAATGTTTATAGCAGCAATGTCCACAATAGCCAAACTGTGGAAGGAGCCTCGGTGTCCATTGAAAGACGAATGGATAAAGAAGATGTGGTCTATGTATACAATGGAATATTACTCAGCCATTAGAAACGACACATACCCACCATTTGCTTTGACGTGGATGGAACTGGAGGGTATTATGCTGAGTGAAGTAAGTCAATCGGAGAAGGACAAACATTATATGGTCTCATTCATTTGGGGAATATAAAAAATAGTGAAAGGGAATAAAGGGGAAAGGAGAGAAAATGAGTGGGAAATATCAGTGAGGGAGATAGAACATGAGAGACTCCTAACTCTGGGAAATGCACAAGGGGTAGTGGAAAGGGAGGTGGGCGGGGTTTGGGGTGACTGGGTGATGGGCACTGAGGGGGGCACTTGACAGGATGAGCATTGGGTGATATGCTATATGTTGGCAAATTAAACTCCAACTAAAAAAAGGAAAATCTGCACAGCAAAACATATATATAGGAAAAAACAAACAGTAAACTGGAAATAATTTTATAACTCTTATCACAGATGAAGGGCTATTTTCCTTAATATATAAAGAACTCCCACAAATCAATTTAAAAAAACTATAATGTGAGAGAAAATTGGGGGCTGGTTTTAGATTGCACCTGGGAAGCTTCCAGGAGGATTACAAATCAGTAGGTTTGATATGTAAAATATATAAAGAATTCATACAACTCAATAGCAAAAAACAAATAATCTAACTTAACAATGATCAAAGGACCAGAATAGACATTTTTTCCAAAGAAGACATACAAATAGCAACAGCTTATGAAAAGGTACTCAACATCACTAATCATCAGAGAAATACAAATCAAAACCACAATGAGATGTCACTTCACACCAGTTAGGATGGCTACTATCAAAAAACAAAAGAAAACAAATGTTGGTAGGGATACATACAAAAGGGAGCACTTGCACACCGTTGGTGGGAATGTAAAATGGACAGCCATTACGGAAAACAGTATGGATGTGCCTTAGAAAATTAAAAATAGAACTACCACATGATCCAGCAATCCCAGTTCTGCATATATATATATATTCAAAAGAAATGAAATCAGTGTCTTGTAGAGATATCTTCACTTCCACTTTCCTTGAAGCATTATTCACAATAGCCAAGATTTGGAAACTACCTAGGTGTCCATCAACTGCATGAATAAAGAAGATGCAGTATAAATGTACACAATAAAATAATATTCAGCCATGAGAAAGAAGTCCTGCCATTTGTGACAACATGGATGAACCTGGATAGACGTTATGCTAAGTGAAATAAGCCAGATAGAGAAAGATAAACATCATTTTAGAAAAAATTTTCAGCAGCTTCTTATAAATTTAAACATGTAACCACCTCGAGGCTTGGCAAATTTTCTGTAAAGGAACGATAGTAAATGTTTTAAGTTTGGTGAACCAGTTTCTATTACAACTATTCAATTCTGCTGTTGTAAAGCAGCCACGGATGACACATAAATAAATGGGCATGGCTATATTCCATACAAAAACAGGGGGCCAAACCATGGGCTATAGTTTATTGACCTGTGTCTTGTTACCCATTTTACAATTGACTTCATGACTTAGTGGATTGGACAGAATTCAGCTCAACATGAGCAATTCTGGACATATGGTAACACAGTCAAGTGTTCCAGGACCCAGTAACAAGCCAAGAGCTGTATCTTAAAGGGCATCTATTTCTCTGCAGCAAAGGGCATGACCTCCAGAATACCCAGGACCTATGTTATGATTCCCCTCCCGAAGTTTGCCAAAAACTCCATACTGTAACTTTTCCTACCACTGATACCTCCAACACGAGGCTTGCCTAATTGTATGACTCAAGCAGCAAAGCTGATTGCATTACAGGCCTAGAGTTGCTACACTGCCCTTTCCTGTTCTGGCTCCACTCCAAACTGATAGCTTTTTTGGTTATGTGGTAAATGAGCCATGGGAATTTTCCTAGCTGTGGAATGTTGCCTCCAGAACCTAAAAAGGCCTACCTGGTTTTCTGGTTTCTTCTTTGTTGGCAAGGATGCAAGATGCAAAACATCTGTATTTTATTTTAGAGGGGATATCTGCCTCTGACCCCTTTGGTCCCTAAAAACTCCAATGAACTAGTCAGTCCCTGAATCCTCAAAGGGTTTGTCTCCTACTTCCTGGAATACGTGTATTTTACCAAGGCCTCCAACATAATAATCATTCTATGCTTGTCCTAATTAGCATAATGTTATCAACATAATGGTTCAGTGTGATATCCTGTGGGATATCTGTGTGGTCCACAGCTTTTTGGATTATATTCTGATAGAGAGTTAACAAATCCTTGAGGCAAAGCCATCAGTTAATATAGTAGAGCAATGGGCCGACACTCAACCCTGGTGAAAAGGCAGGTGTGCCTGAGCAGCAGCTGGTCAATAGACTATTAGCATCAGAAGTTAAGGGGCTGCTCTCCTGGGGAGGGGCTATACTTGGGGCAGAGTTGGTAGCAGGCTGAAAAGAGCCCTGCCCTCATTAACCTTTGTATAGTTTCCTATTAAGCCACTTTTCTTAGCGTACATACTGGAATTTATTTACCTGAATTTCCCCCAAAAGTAAACCAGCAATTCAACCTTGACAATGGTCCTGGTGTAGCATCCAAGGTGGCCCCCATTAATTTCCACCTCTCCTGGTCTTCACTTTCACATTCTACCAGAGATGGTTGGTGTGACTGATAGAATACAGCACAAGTGATGATATGTAACTTCTGTGAATAGGTGGTCGGTCAATCTCTCTCTCTCTTGAATCACTCACCTGGGGAAAGTCAGCTGTCATGTTGTGAGCATTCCGATAGGTATGCCGCATGATGTGAACTTGGAAGCAGATCCTTCAGCGCCTGTTGAACTTTCAGATGACTACAGCTCTGGCCAACAGTTTACCTGCAGGCTGGAAAGAGCCTGAACAGAACCACTCAGCTAAGCTGCTCCAGGGTTTCTGACCCTCAGAAACTGTGAGATAATAAATGTTTGTTGTTTTAAGCTACCACGTTTGGGATTAACCTGTTACATAACCATACAGGACTGATACAGCTAATACAGGACTTCTTATTTATCTCAACCCCTGTCAGATGTCTGGCCTCTAGTAAGTCCTTAACCAGTGTTGGTTGAATGAATGAATAAATGGATGGATAAATGGATGGATAAATTGTGGCAGCATTTAAGTAAACCAGTAATCTAGTCAGTCTGATTAAAGAGTTGAGAGATTTAATTTATAACTTTAATGTGGTTTACTTCTCAAAACTTCAGATTCTCTCAAGTAGGTCTTTCTACCTAGCAATAAGGTGGCAGTAGAGACTAAAACAAAATCAACTGTAGAAAGATGATTTAACTTACTGATTCAAGCAACAACCTCCACGACAATGGTAAACAAAAATTTTTATAGCACTAAAACTGAATTATAAGACATAAATGACATAAATTCACCTCCAAAATAAGTTTTTTTAAGGTTTTATTTATTTATTCATGAGAGACCTACAGAGAGAGAGAGAGGCAGAGACATAAGCAGAGGGAGAAGCAGGCTCCGGGCAGGAAGCCCAATGTGGGACTCAATCCCGGGACCCTGGGCTAACGCCCAGAGCCAAACGCAAATGCTTAACTGCTGAGCTACCCAAGTGTCCCCAAAATAAGTTTTTATTACAAAAACTTTTAACACAATTCAGTATTCTTTTAAGGCTAAACCAAGGACCTTGCCAACCCTATTGACACATAAGAGAACAAGTCAGGAAAGTCAACATGAACTCTAGGATGACCTGAATTATTCCTTTCCTAAAGAATTCTAGGAGTCTGTGGTTTTCTCTGTTAGTATACGTAGTTCCTTCTTTTAGTTGTAAAAACAATCAGGGGTATAATTCTTGGCAGGTTGTTCTATAGAATGAAGTGAATCGTAATAGAAAATGTGGCTCTAACATGCATAAGGAACAAGTTACCACAAGGAGGGGGGGGATCTACATTCAAAAAAGAAAAGTTGCTTGGTGATTAGAAGATTTTTCTATTTTAAGAAATAAAAAAATGACTTGAGAAGTTTACTCCATTTCTTTATCTTTAGAGCCATAGCTGCACAATCCCATAAAAATGAGAAACTCTTGTTTTACAGAGAGCCCCGAAGTCTCCTTCAAGGAAGTAGAGAACTTTATTGAAGATCGGCTATTTCATTATCAATCAACCCCTCCTTTTATGTCTCCTAATGTCTCATGATTCTGGAGAAATTCATTTTTGCTGGGAAAAAGGAGCATGTGCTGGTGAGAGGCCTTAGGCAGCACTCGGTGTTTTTGTTCTTGTAACCAGTTTGGTGTAATGAACAGTCTAGAGACTTTGGTACCAGATCAACCGGTAGTTAAATTCTGGGTCTGCCACTCGTTACCTGGGTAACATTGAAGTGATTATTTTCCTTAAGTTTGAGTTTACTCATCTCTAAATTGTGAGAATTAAATGGGATGTACCTCAACTCAGCCTAGTGTCTGGCATACATGTGTTCAAAAACAAAGGGCTATTGTTTTTTGATTATTAGTGAATTCTGTTGTCCACAGCCACCTAATTCTTAGTCACTAGTGATTCAGTGGGAGGAATCATCAAGACTAAAATTGATTTGTTCCTCTTTTTGGTGTCACATCGAACCTACAAAACTTGTGATGTGGTGGGCATTTTGATGGCTTTTTATTTATTTTTTTTATTTTATTTTTTTTAATATTTTTTTAAAATTTTTATTTATTTATGATAGTCACAGAGAGAGAGAGAGAGAGGCAGAGACATAGGCAGAGGGAGAAGCAGGCTCCATGCACCGGGAGCCCGACGTGGGATTCGATCCCGGGTCTCCAGGATCGCGCCCTGGGCCAAAGGCAGGCGCCAAACCGCTGCGCCACCCAGGGATCCCCTTGATGGCTTTTTAAAAAAAAGTGGAAAAGGAGGCAGGTAGATCATCAGACATATGTATATCATATGAAACATGGATAGTAAAAGCATTAGAAGTCCATTTTATAGATAAAGCAGAGGCAGTTTTATAATGGGAAAGATGAAAGGTAAAGTAAAATCCCCAATGTGCATGGGTAGCATTTATTACAATTAACATTGTGGTTTATAATTTGGAAGCATATACTACTTTGCATACTTTACGTTAATTTAACATATCTCATATGTTGACTTAGAATGGCTAAAATATTTTGAAGCAAATTGGAAAATACTCTGAAGCAACTCACTAGATCTTTCATAAAGTGAACAAAAAATATGCAGAAAAAATATGCAGAAATTGATTTGGTGCTTAAATCAGAAATGGGTTTTGTGAAAGATGGTGGTTTACATTGTTAGAAGGACTAATGATGGTGAGGGAAGTACCCAATATCCTGGAACCGATGAAAGAATTCTCTAAACTCCATTATTTTCTTTTCCCCAGGGCACCAATTAGATTCTCTGGTATCCAGATGATTCGCGTCTTAGGTGGATTCCATAAACAATCAAACCCACAGCACAGAGACCAAGTACAATGGCCCCAATCACAGGTAGCACAACTGTGTAGTCAGATGAACACTCGTCCACTAAGAGAGAGAAAAAAAATATAGTATAGTGGGTAAGGTTTGGTGAGGAAAGACCAGAAAGAGTGGGAAGACTATGAACTTTGGAGTCAAACCCAAGACTGACTTTTTTTTAAATTGAAGTATAGTTGACACACAACCGGGCTTGACTTTTTTTTTTTTTTTTTATGATAGTCGCACAGAGAGAGAGAGGCAGAAGGAGAAGCAGGCTCCATGCACTGGGAGCCCGACGTGGGATTCGATCCCAGGTCTCCAGGATCATGCCCTGGGCCAAAGGCAGGGGCTAAACCGCTGCACCACCCAGGGATCCCCCCGGGCTTGACTTTTAATCCCACCACTAACTGTGTGAACTGCGATGAGTACTGAACTTTGCAATTTCCTCATTCATAAAGTAAGCAAATAAGATTATCTTAATCTTTCAACAGCGTTATATATTATTTGCTTGCAATTTGTCCTCTGCAAAGTAGAATGTGCTTACATAAAACAGACTGCCACTAGAGTACACGTGATATCTGGAAAACATGTGATATTTATCTGTGTTTTCAAAAATATAAAACATTTTTGCTACACTTAACGTTCTTTTTTATTGCTTTTAATGAGCTAAAAATATTAGAAAAGTACCTAATTATTTATGAGAACTTAGAAATGAAACTTTATAAATTTGTCAAACTTTCTTTTTATTTCGTTAAGAGAGTACTTATTCAGTTCATTTAAAATGTAATCAGCCTCACCTGGGGAAAGATGGAGAAGCCTGAGGAAAAAAGGGAATGTGATTGAATACAAATAAGTAGAGAACTATATCTATATCTTATTCAAGGATAGATAAAAGTCAACAGATGAATGGATAAAGAAGATGTGGTATACACACATAATGGAATATTATGTAGTCATAAAAAGGATGAGATCTTGACATTTGCAACAACATGGATGGACCTAGAAGGTATTACACTCAGTGAAATAAGTCAGATTGAAAAAGACAAATACCATATGATCTCCACTCATATGTGGAATCTAAAAAAATAAATGAATAAACAAACAAACAAAAAAGCAGAATCAGACCTACAAATACAGAGAACAAACTGATGGTTGCCAGAGGGAAGGGGTCAAAGGAAATGGGTTAAAATGGGTGAAGAGTGGAAGATACAGACTTCCAGGTATGGAATGAATAAGTCACAGGGATGAAAGGCACAGCATAGGAAATAGAGTCAATGATATTATAATAGCACTGTATGGTGACAGATGTAGTTACTTACATTTGTGGTGAGCTTAGCATTACGTATAGAGAGGCTAAATCACTATGTTGTACACCAGAAACTAATATAACACCATGTCAACTTGAATAAAAAAAAGAAAAGAAAAAATCACCACTATATGTTAAAGGGGGGAAAACCAACAGAAAGAAAAATGAATATAGTAATACAATGTTTTTTTTCATAAATAAAGAAGAAATGAAGATAGATTTGCTTGCATTTACATAAAACCTGGAAGGATAAGAATGCATGATAAACCAATAAAAGTATTTATAGGTGGCTAAGGGGAGAGTGGAATGGAAGAAAAACATGGTGAGGGCAAGGATTTGTAAGGTAAAACTGCATGTTACCTTAGTTTTAAAGCAAATGCAAAGAAAATTTTAATCAAAATTTCAAATATTTGAGTAGTATCTTATAAGAAAAAAAGAAAAAGGACAGATAAGAGACTATATCCATGAGATCCTTGCTTAAACCAATATTAAAACAAATCAAGGATTAATTCTCACCTGAGGTCAGAATAAAAAGAATCAGGAAGGACCAGGGGGGAGGGAATGATAGAGACTCCAGAAAATGACACATCTGTACAAGACAGGAACTGTGCTTTTCCTACACTATTTGATGTGGCAGTGGACAATATTTATATAATTTTAACAATATATACATTATTAATTTAACAAAAAACAGTGATATAACCATAAAGGGAATGGTGTAAGAGTATGAAATCATCTGCCATAACAAGCAGTTTAAAGCTAATAAATTAAGAAATAAGAAAGCTTTTTAACTTGTTAAACAAGAATTATTGAGATAGTTATCATAAGAAATTATAAAAATTAGTTAAAAGTACTTTGTCTCTTAGAGGAAGGACAGGGATATGTTGCTTTTCATGATAAGCCCTTTTGGAGTACACAATTTTGTTACATATACCTTTTTTAAAAGATTTATTTATTTATTTTAGAGAGACAGAAAGAGCAGACACACATGAGGGGCAGAGGGGCAGAGGGAAAGAGAATCTCAAGCAAACTCCCTGCTGTGTGGAGCCTCACATGGGGCTCAATCCCACGACCCCAAGATCATGACCTGAGCCAAAATCAAGTTGGACATTCAACTGACTGAGCCACTCAGGTGCCCTTGTTAAATATATATATGATATATATGGATATATATGATACATACATACATATCAATATGATATATATATCAGTAAATATGTTTCTGAGATTTAAAAAAGAACATCAACAAATTGAGTTTAATTCTATTAAAATGATTTGGAAAAAAATACAAAAATGTCAAAACAAAATGTAAAACATATACACTAACATAATTCCACCACTAGGAACTTATACTAAAGATATATTCATTTAAGTACACAAAGAAATGTTACAATAATCTCAGTTCAAGAGAACAAAGTGGACAATCTACATATCCACCAAAACTGTAAAATGGCATATCTGTACAACAGAATATAATGGAGCCACTACAAAGAATATGCTAGATCTCAGCATGCTGATGTGGAAGTTCCCTAAGATCTGTGCAGCTTTGCATGAGTCCAAACAAATGTGCATGTGTGCCTGAAACGAAAAGATATGCAAGATGCTGGGCAGGGGTAGGTGGGAGTGGAGAGCAATTTCTACTTACCATATAGTTTTACACTATTTAATGTCACATTGCATAAATATTTTTAAAATGCAGAAAAGTACACAAAGAAAATAATTATCTAGGGTGCCTGGGTGGCTCAGCAGTTTGGTGCCTGCCTTTGGCCCAGAGCATGATCCTGGAGTCCGAGGATCAAGTCCCACATCAAGCTCCCTGCGTGGAGCCTGCTTCTCCCTCTGCCTCTGTGTGTCTCTCATGAATAAATAAATAAAATCTTCAAAAAAAAAAAAAGAAAGAAAGAAAAGAATTATCTAGTCACCACAGTCCTTCCACTTGAATGAATCACTGCCAACCTTGAAGGCATTTGCTTCATCTGTACATACATGAGAGTGTGTGTGTGTGCACATGCGTGTTTATGTATATGCTTAAAGAAACATCACTATTTTTTAAAATAAGTAACTATAAGTAACTCACTATAGTCACTATAAGTTCTCACTATAAGTAACTAAGATGATCTACGAAAGCTCACAGATAAAACTGCAAAAACTATAGGAGAGGAAGAAATCTCTTCCAAGATTCTTCCAACTGGTTTAAAAATTACTATTAATAGGAAAAAAAATCTAAGTTTTATTATGTGTGCACAGAGGGTTGATATTGAAATTGATACCCAAAGAAATAACCAAGAAAGACAGTTTTGATACATTTTAGACAAATAGATAATAGGTTTATGAGGAATTGACAGAATAAAGGAAACAGATGTTTGGGAGCTTCAATTAGTAAGGAAGTTTAAGTGGAATTTGGACTAAGATAGCAGATTAGCAAAAGGTAAGGGGTTTTGTTTCTATAGCTTTAATGCCTTTAAAGCTCCTTTCTCTAGTGATAAGTCTTTTTACTTTACTACAGAGAGGATAGCTTTCATATGGGAGATTTATTTCCTGCTTTTAGGGCAACAGAGGAGGATCTATGAATGTTGTTTCCCAAGTAACTTCAATTCAAAATAATCAGTATGCTGTGGTGGTACATTTTGGGCTGCCCTCACCTGAACCCTTTACAAAACCAATCACCTGAAAAGCACCCATCCAGAAATTATCCTTGCTAAATCATGGACAAATATGACTTCAGATGTCTCTCTATAAGGACAGAGATGGGTAGAATAATAAATACAAGTACTTTTATTAAAATAGAATCATGCAAGTGTTATTTAACCAAAATTGTTGATTTTAATTTAACTTCATTTCATTGAGAAAAAAAGCTAAAGGAAAACTGGGACAATTACCAAACTTCAAATAAATGTATCTTTGTCACAAGATGAGAGTTACGAAGATCATGAAAGATCCCTGTAAGGTTCAAATAAGAGATTATAAATACACACTAAAGGATTATGAAATGCATTAAGAAGGTTATGAAGTGAATGACAGACATGGATTTTCTAAACTGTGTTTTCAATTTAGACAGGATCTATTGATAGTGTTTTTGAAAGATTAGCACTAGCAGATTCTCCCCTAGCTCTTTTCTTCCCAACTCAAATTTTGAACATATTATTTTTTTAAATCATTGTTTGAGTTTACATTATTTCAATTCTATTTGATAACTGCCATTCCTATAGTTAAAAAAGTTTGTTTCAAATATATAACACATTGGCAATTCAAAGTCAAAATAATTCAAAATGTTGTAGGTTGAGACGTTCCACTTTCAGCCTTGCCCCATCTTTTTAATTCCCCCTGTCATAATCACTTTATTTATTTGAGAGAAAGATAGAGAGAATGCAAATGATGGCAGGGCTTGAGGGAGAGGCAGAGGAAGAAGGAGAGAGAATCTTGAGCAGACTGCACTGAGAATGGAGTTAGAGGCGGGACTCAATCATCATCCTGAGATCATGACGGGGGCTGAAACAAAGAGTTTGATGCTTATCCTGACTGAGGCACCCAGGTTCCCCAACGATATATTTTGAGTAACTTCCCTACACATATATAAATATGTATGTTCTCATTCTTTCTTATAACTGTATTCTTTTGTGGGATGTATCTGTCCCAGACTGATGAACACTTCATTTTTTTTATTTTTTGCTATTATAAATAATGCTATAATGAATAACCATGTACATATTTCATATACAAGAAGGTGTGACCTTATGATAGATTTACAGACCCATAGTTGTTT